CGAGATAGCGATCGAATTTTTTTTTTTCCTGCATGATAGCAATGCGCTTCCGTACTTTGACCCTGAAAAGTCCAGATCAACATAAACCTTTTCCAACACTGCAAAAACACTAAATTTTACCAAACATTTCTGGACACAAGTAACATTTTAGCCAGATATAGAATCTTGTTTTCAGTCAACTATTCAGATTATCTCTCTTATAATGTGGAAAAATGTCTTATTATAAGTTAAATAATCTGTTTGTGCATCACTATGATGAAAGCAACAAACTACGGAGCCGGGTTTGTGTGATTGACAGTTTATGGCAGACAGAAACTTAAAGCTTCCTGTGTTGCTAATTTCACCCTGAAAATTGAAAACTAAATGCGGATATCCTTTCTGAAGCACCAAAACAAGTGAAAAAGTAACAGAATTCAAGCCAAGACTTCAGCAAGAACTTCTCACCTGGTTCAACCTCCAAAGAGCGACTGTCAATCTCGATGTCAAGCCGATTAGACGCGGCGCTGCACAAGTCCTCCAGCACACAGCGCACGGCTTCTGTGACGTTGTTCGGCACCGGCTTGTCCAGTTTCATCCTGCTGTTCACCACAACACTGCCGTTCCTGAAGTTGAGAATCTCCAGCTGCTTAAATCCAGTCAGATTGGACTGTAAATATGGCAGAAGCTGTGCAAAGACAGAGGGGGACAGATTCATCAGCTGCTGCTTCTCAGATGTTAATTATAGGATTAGTGCTGCAAAAATCAATTTGCTGCAGGAAACAGATTTTAGCTGTTAAAAAAATAAGTTTTACTTTGTCTATGAAAATTTAAATTAATAAACAAAGCTAAATTTGTTAGAGTCGACTAAAAAAACTTAATTATCCTCTGATTTTATTCTCCTTTAGTGACAGCGCTCAAGTTTTATTATTCAGGTCACATATAAGAGTGAATTCTATGAATAGTTTGTAATTAAATTTTGATGTGAGCATGAAAGGATGAGTTTCTGTCACTGATTCTACAATTAGATGCAGAACAAAATTGGAGTTTTGGTTTCTAAGCACCGGTGCCGCGAAAATGCTAATCCTTCAAATTATAAAAACGGTGAAAGGATAAAATAGTTTAATAAAAAGAATGTGTATTGCAAGTAAACAGAAAACTAATCCACAATAAGACTGTCCTACATTTATACTAAGAGGTTTGCAGGAGCAGAGTCACTCAGTTAACTGTAGGTTTAAAGCAACTAACAGAAAGAAAAGATGAATGATATTATCAGTGGTCAATATTTCCAGTAAGACGAAGGCAAACAGTTAAAGTAAGATTGAACAAAATAGGTTTTAAGAATTAATCTTTATTATGAACCAGAATGCTTCTGCTGAGGAAGTAAAATGGTCATTTATGGAGAGAGGGGTGTGAATGCTTTCTAAAATGATGGTTTGTGGAAATCAGCCATGACTCAGCGATTTGGATAAATTCAGGATCAGCTGATGACGCTCTAATATATGAGTAAGGTATTCCTCAGTACCCAGGTAATCTTAATTGATACATTATGCATCAATAATTACCTAAATCAGAAAGGAACTAATTCATCACTGTAACTGCGTCTACATTGATTGTGTAATTGCAAAATTTGACATTTCAATAATAAATTTGCTTTATGGAAACGCGCCAATTTTGAAAAACTCTTGTTTGTCAGTAAAGAGTTTTGGCAATGAGGTTGTTGTTGTTTGGCCGTATCAAAACGGGTTTATTTCACAAAACTGCAATGGAAAAACTTTTTCGCATCACGCGAGTCACATGATCAACAACCAGACGAAACCAACGAAGAAGAAGACGACAGGAACTAGTATGAGGATGATGACGCCGCGTGTTTTTAACGGCTTAATGCGTGAACAAACTTATACACGTGATTTTAATTATATTTTATTGTACAGAGGCATACAGATCTTTTTATTAAAGATCAGATTTTCCCCATTTGACTCAACTGTTCATGCTTCTCCTTTATTTGTGATTTTTTGTGTTATTGTGACTATTTTTGTCTGCAGAACACTTGGACAAAAGTTCTGCATAACTGTAGAGATGTTTGTGTTGGAAAATAGTTTTCCTTCTGTAGCCAAGCAATGAGACACAGTCTGCTTCATCTAATTTAGTCATTTATCTCTTTCTTGCAACCTAAATATTTCGTGTGCATGCCTCGTAGTCGTTCATGTGAATAAGATAAGGGACCCAAGACAAATAAAATAGTCAGGCTCTGCACAGCAGCATCGCTATCTAAATCTAACTGGATTAACTTGACGCAGAGACTAAATTACATTATAAATGTATCAAATTCTAATGGAATAATTTAAAGTTGCTACTTCAAACACCCAAAGCAGTAAAATTACTTTTGACTCCAATTTAACTTAAACTTTAAATTTAAATATATTTGACTATAACTTGGACATACAGTGACTTACAAAACTGTTCATCTCCCTTCAGACTTCAGGGTTTAGTTTTCCTGGACCGGAAGGAGGTGAAAGACGGTTTTCAATGTTTTTCAAAGAAAAAACAGGGAAATGTTGGACCCCAAAGTTTAGATGGACCGATTGGGGTTTCATCTGATAGCTAGTTAGCTAACCAGCTGAGCTTTGGTTCCCTGCAGCTCCTCCAGAGTCGCCTCTTGGCTTCTCCTCTGATTAAAGCTCTTCTTATTCAGACTGTCAGTTCAGATCAGGGGTGTCCAAAGTGTGGCTCGGGGGCCACTGGCAGCCCCTGGACTGACTGTGTGTGGCCCCAAACTTCATTTCAAGATATAAATTTGACCCGAGGCTCAGGCGTTCAAAATGATCTCAAAGTAAAACCTTCCAACAATGAAAGAATACTGGCTACAACTCAAAGTGTTTGTCTTTAAATAACCATGTTTTTTCCATTCTGTTGCCAGGACCAGTTTCACTTGCTGCACTCATATCTGTTTTTAATTCATTTAATAAACTTGGCTAAATACAGCAAACATTTTACAAGAAAAATTGACTCAAATCCGGATATTATTGATCAGAAATGACTAAATTGTGTTTTTTTAATAATGCAAATCTGTAGAACCTTTTAAAGTTTTGGATCTAGAATAATTAATGTGTCCTTTTCCAGGAACAAATCTAATACTTTGTTTAATTAAAGCATTGCATGCTTAGTTTATTTTTAATAGATAAACTATTTTTTTAGCACTCAATTTTTTTTAGCCTTGACAAAAATGTTTTGACCCTTACAAGTAACTTTTCAGTAAGATACAAGAGCTTGTTCTAATTATTTAATTCCTTAATATTGATGAAAAACTTCTAGTTCCACTGGTGGATTATTTCACCTATAGCACGAAAAAAAATGACGTTAGAAGTGAAATAACAATATTAAGGGCTTATTAACTTAAAGCCACCTCTCATATCTTGCTAAAAAGTCACTTGCAAGTTATTTTTATCTCATTTCAAGAGTAATAGTTGGTAAGATTTTGTGTTTTTACAGTGTGGAAAGCCAAACTGTGGAGGAACTGATGCAGGAAATCAGACAGCTAAAGAAACGGCGCTCCATCAGGGTCATTGATCTGAATGGCTTCCAAGTTCAGCTCAGATGAAACTGCTGCAGCGTGAGGGGAAGAGATTACGCTGCTTTAGCAGGCCTGAGCGGCGGAGGAGTGATAAGAAGCCTTAAGGAGCTCTGCTCAGGACAGGTGAGCACCAATCACCTGCCAACTTCACACAGACCCACGGCTCTGACAGCTGCAGCTGCAACCAGCAGGGAACCACTTGCAAACAGTTTACAAACACAATCATTTTAAAGGATCTCTCTACTGCAAACCACAGAACTTCTACATCCATGACTTGATGGTTCATAAAAAGTTACGCATGTATCTACTGGTTCTGTTAAAACCAACAGGCCTGGTGCCGATGTCACTGAAGAGTCACAATGATTACTAACCAGCTTAGTATGTTTATTTTCATTCAGTGTGAAGAAAAAAACACTTTCTGAACTCCATGTCCAATTTCTTTTGGTTGCTTCACAAACCAGTAGGTACAGGAGTAATCCGAGCTACAATGGGCCGATAAAACATACATGTACACACATATGAGCATTCAGTCTGTTTAAATGGGCTCATTAACATGATACTCAGCAGTTCGTTATGATTTCTGATGAAATCAGGTTGGATCGTTTAAGAGAAATGAGAAGTCGCCCATTTAAAGGAGAACATAGCTGCGTTTCCATTGACCTTAAACAAATTGGAATCACAAAATAAATTCAATTAATGGAAAAAGTTTTTGCATGATGATGAGGTGTTTTTTCTGCTGTATTGAAATTACTTTGATTTGCAAAACTGCGACTGAAACACTTTTGCATCACATAAGTCATGTGATCAACAACCAGATGTTACTACTGGTGGAAACCACAAAGAAGACAACAGGAAGTGGAAGGAGGATGAAGAGGCCGCATGTTTTTAACAACGTATCATGTTAACTTACTCAAATGAGATTTTAACTGTGTGTCTTACTTAATGGAGAAACAGCAATTGAAAAATTATTAGCAGAATATCAACAAAGTTTTGTACACATTTGCAATGGAAACGCAGAATATATTGGTAACTCTCAGAGCGGCAAATACTTACCGGATCAAACATCTGAAATCTAGTTTTGCCAGGAAGCTCAACAAATTAGTTAACAAGCAAAATCCAAGGTTTGAGCAACCACTAAAAATTGGAGATGGAGTGTTGCTTTTATCAGTTATACATTACTTTCTGCTTTCCTTTCAATAGTTTCTCTGCAGACAAGACAAGTTACCCTCAAATCCAGCTCAACACATTGGTGACAGTCCACCATTTATCCTTTGTTTCAATGCATCTGCTCATTTTAAACATGCATGTATGCCAACATACCAAACCCTAATGCAGATTTTTAAATACAGTTTAATAAAAAAAATAAATAAATAACTGATGTTAAAAACTAAAAGTGACTTGATTGTTTTTATTCCGTTTCCTGTGGTACTTTCGGTGACGTTGCATCCAGATGTCAACATAAACACACTAAGGAGATTGAAACCAGCATTAGCACAGAGTGTGTGATGCAGGAGTTGACGAGAACTCCTCTAAGCTGCTTACTCCACGTCACAAACCGAAGACTAAAACAGGAAAAGGTCTCCTGACCTCCATGCATAAACTAACTCTGCTTTAGCAAAACAAAAGCATAAATCAGCAAAACATCCCAAAAGTGCTCACAAAGCTTTTTAACTTACTATTCTAAGCCAAACTGATTCATGTGGTTTATATTTACAGCATCAGACATGCAAATAATGTAACATCCGAAATGTGAAGCCATGCTGCATTTTTGTCTGTATAAGTAGTAAAATAAACTCCACAACTGAATAGAGACAATGTTTAAATTGCATTTAGTCATTTAACAGATGCTACGACTAAGAAGCAACATTCAGCATAAACTTTTAATGCTTTATATGTTTCCTAGCACCACATTATGATACATAAAAGCTGAAGTAGCAAAATAGCTAATAAGAAAATAAAAACTCAATAGTTTTGTCTGTAATATTGAGACTTAAAGGATTATTTTACTTTTTTTGCAATGCTATAAAATCGCTTCTGCAGCACAGAGTGGAAAGCGCTCATTGGGTATATCAAAGGAAAACCCAGAACGTCCTGGATTGTATAAAATAAGTTTAATCAAAGATCCAGGAAAGTAACCAGTAAAATGTAAACGTGCCCAATAAATTCAAGGAAAACACAGTTTATGTTTCAGATATCAATGAATTTATCCAGCAAGTTAAAGGCAGAAAATCATCATGTTGTCAATAAAGATATAATAAATTCAAGGAAAGTTCCAGAAAGTAACCAGTAAGTTCCATACTAGAACGTAGTCAGGAAATGTCAGTAGTATTGCGTAAAGTAACTATGAAGTTTTAAAAAGTACTGGTTAAGTTTTAGGAAAGTAATCAGTGAGTTCTATGAAAAATCCATGAATATATGCTGTAAAATTTTGGAAAAAATGCGCAGTCAGGTCTGTGAGATTTCTGTAAAGGTACGGCATAACTCCCAGAAAAAAGTTACAAGGAAGTTCAATGCAAGCAAGCAGTAAGTTCACGGAAAGTTCAGGAAAGTAACAAGTAAGTTTTGAGAAAATAACTGTTAATGTCCTGAAAAATATTATTTTGATTTTAAAAAACCGTTATGATATCCACCAAGTGCAGGAAAATAACCAGGAAGTTTTGAGAAAACGCCCAGCAGAATAGAATTTTGTAAAATGTGTTTTAAAAAGTACCAGTAGGTTTCCAAAGAAATTTCCAGTATATTCTGGGAAAATGTAAAAAAAAAATCCAGGGAAGTTTTATACCCTCTGAAAGACGGAGAGAAGTTATCGAAAAATAGCCAGCAAGTTTTGGTGAAAAAGTCCTGGAAAGTTTTGGAAAGTAAGGTTGTAAAAGTTTCAGTAAAGTGGCCTCTAAAATCTGTTTTATGAGATGCTACTGAAAAATGCAGGTTGCACAGAATCACGGCTACAACCACTTTTAATCTCACTGGTGATTTGTGTGAAAAACAAACTTTTCCTTTAAGAAATAAAGAAATTTTTCATTTCTTAATTTTCTTGCCACATCTGACGAGCGAAACTGATACGATTCGGGCGTTTTGTTAGAATTTAAAGCTTGTTAAAGTTGTGTTTTGTATTGACCAGTTAATATGTTCTCACCTGTTTTCTGTACTGCACACACACAGTGAAGATGAGAGAAAGGATCAAATCAAATATTCGACCCGTTTGTTTAGACGTCAACACTCTGGACTAACATTGCACACGTTAAGCTTTCAGTGGCTGAGCCACAAAGCAGAAACCCGTTTCCTAAAAGCTTTTCCTTTTAAGTTAAATCTTCTGGTGCTGACCTTTCATCAGATCTGTCTTACTTTCAGAGTATTTACATAAATACTCAGAGCATGTTTGGGACCAGGCAAAGCCTTTCTAAGGCTAAACCATTTTGTCCTCATTTTCCCTCCTAACAATGTGTGCTACATAATAACTTTAAAATTACCAATTGAAACACTGCTTAGAAACTCAGAAAATAAAAATATCTTACAAAGCTGCCACAAACCAAAGAGCGCACAGTTAAAAAAAGTAAAAGAAATCTCTGTTCACAGTTGAGCAACGTTTTGAGTTTCAGACTTTTAGTTATGTAAAAGTCCTGCAGACTGGATTTATCCTGTTTGGCTTTGCAGCCTGTGAATTTCCTCTCATATCCACTTACGACTTACATCATTTCAAAAAAATCACACACAAAGAAAAATGCAAACAGATTTTACAAGAACGTGTGCTATTTTAAAAACACAAAGAAACATGAATACAGACAAGCAAGTCAGCAGCACAAACTGAATGTTAGTGAAATATTTTCAGGACAGATTTTAAAAAAAGTTGAACTGCAGTGTGACTCAAAAGATTAAGGCAAAAAGCATAAAGATGAGAAGTACAGAAAAGAATAATGTTTTACAGTATGGAAATGTGAAATGTTAGGAAGATCAGGTGCTTCTGGTTTTACGTACTGCATTTGGACGCTGTTAGTGAACAAACTGAGGAGGAGGAGCTCCAACATGGAAACAGATAAAAAGATACCGGTATGGAGGCTAACGTTGTCTGTCTCCCCAGCCCAGATTTAATGGAAGCTCCAGGGTTTGGCTGGTTTCTGGACCCAAAGTGCTGAGTCTAAGTGAAACAGAACAATTTCACCACAAGTGTTTCCACACCGTCAACACGGCGGCTCCTCTGGAACAAACGTGTTAACATACTGCAGGTTTTCGGTTTGAAGACGTCTTTTACCAAACAAAAACAAACAGCAACAATGTATTCGCTTTTCCATGTTCATGCTGTGAGGATAAGGCTTACTGCACAGCACACAGAGCATCTCGTCTGTTCCTGTTTTTCCTCCATAAAAATGTTAAGAAGTGGTGCAACAACTGCAACATTTTTAGCTAAGATGGAGTGTTAGGGCCATAGTAAGAAAAACAATGAAAAAAATTTAATTATAAGAATAAAGTTGAAATAATACAAGAATAGAGTCGTAATTATTAGAATAAAGTCATATTAATGTGAGAATGAAGTCATTTGTCAAAATATGATTGTCATTTTAAAGTCAAAACAATGAGAATAAAGTCACAATACAATAAAAAGTAACAATATTTCAAAACACATTAATAATATTACCATTATTGTTATTTGTGATGATAATAACACCAGAATAATGTCATATTATGACTTTATTCTGGTGATATATGTACTTAATTCTGATCATTTTTCATGATTTTCTTAGCACGGCCATATTTAGTCAGTCGTATTTATTACATTTTGCCTGGTTTCATAATATAAAGTAGGACAGTGAAGCATGCAGGAGCATTATATCCATCACAAAGGCTTGAGTACCTACCAGTTCCAGGAAGGTATTCTCCAGTGACTTATACTCTGGGGAGCTCTTGTTGAACAGGTCGTCAGTAAACATCATGTTAGTGACCCTCAAGCTAAAGAAAACCACCAACTCTTTGCTCTGCTCCACAGCTGTCATCATAGGTGTGCTGGCCTGTCTCATCGCCGGCGCGGCTGTTGATCCGTACGGACCTTCATCAGATTCTGACGCAAAGCCGCTCCCGCTCTCCTCTTCCTGTTGCTCTGTCACTCCGTCTGCGGTGTGTGAATAATCTCCAGGAGCGGTTTGGGTGACCGCGGTCAGATCCGATCGACCTTCTCCTCCGTCCTCAGGGGACGGTAAAGGCTCCACGTCTGCTCCAGGTTCGCTGCCCTGGACGGCGTCCTCACCAGATGATCCGGTGGAAACCGGGTCAGCGGAAGCTGTGGGTGGATCCAGGTTCACCTCAGCAGTTTGATCTCCTTTAGGCCTGGAGCTTGAACTTCCCACCAGCTCCTGATCTGGTGAAAAGAAACAAAACAGCAGAGGGGTGGCATTAACATTTCTATATCCAAAAACACATTAAAGTTACATTTTTGTACTTCCATTTGTGTTTCTACTGAAACCGTCACAAGGGCTTTACAAAAACCACCAAGATGTTTTTGGCAATAAGATGTTTTGGTGTTGAGCCACATTCGAATGGCACTGCACCGTTACCTAGCAACCCCAACTAAGCCCAGCCCGTTACCTAGCAACCCAAGCATAACTCCAGGTCATTTGGTCAGCTGGTTTTACCATTGTATGTGCTGTACAATGGCTGCTGGAAAGACAAGTGTTTTGTTGTTGACTTACCATCCAGAAACCACTTGCTGCATTTTTGTTGGTTGTGCAGGAGGCTCCACTTTTGCTTTTCAAAGATGTATGGTTGTATAATTGTGCATCTGTTTGCAGCCATTTTCATGTGAGTGTAAACGTTGAGTTGGCCAGTCAACATATCAATTTGTGATTACGCACCTACATGTACAGTTTGTGCAACAAGAAGTTGTTGTTTTACTTGTAGTTTCAGTTTTATAACTGTTGTGTTTTGCTAACTTTGTTTCTGACTCAGCTCAGAAAGCACACAGGACAGTAGATTTTAAACTGCTGCCTTCTGGACACAGTGAACATCATTAGCCGTGCCGCACCGCAGGCAGAGAACATGCTAGCAGACGTGAGCCCACCACTGGTTCTGGGATTTAGGAAGTGAGACGTTTTTCAAACATTTCTCAGGCAGAGGATTAAACTCATGTTCCAGTTTAACTTCTGAAACTGTTTGTGTAAGTTCTTAGATTTTTGGCTTTACATTATGAAGAAAACATTCAGGAAACTAAAGGCAGTTTGTTTGTTTTTGCATTTATAACAGTTTTAAAGGTTAATCAGTTTTTGTTACTGTGTTTCTAAACGTTCCTGAGTGTTAATTTCTGACTAGAGCTGTAGCTGCTTCCGTGCTTTTATTTATTTAAAATAAGTGTCCTAACTGTATGATTTATCCCTATTTTAATATAAATTATTCCTAAACATTAAATTTCACAACTCTGGCAGCTCATTTATCAAACATGACAAACTATTCTTTTTAATCTCAATCCAAACACTTGGTGCAGACTTTATTATATAAACACTGAACTGTGGAATATTAAAGTTTTATAGATTAACCATTTTTATTAAATATGACATCTGAAGATGCACCATTTCTCTAAAGTTTGGGTCTCAGCCGTCAAGGTGGGAAATGTTGCTGAGACTTGATGAAATGCGCCTGTGCAGCGCAGCGTGACTCGGTGATGACTGGACCAGGGGCCGGCCGGCCCCCTGCTGCTGGAGCCTTTCCAAGGGTAAAGTGACAACACCAAGTCTAATCATGCTGTCATTTCTATTTCCTGGGTCAGTCAAGGTTGCATTTAGATGCTGTAACTTTATAAGGTTACTTTTTACAAACTCTTAAGTTTCTGTCCTTCCCAGAAACTGTGACAGAAACATCTGACTTGATTTCCGTCGGATGTTCAGGAGGAAGATATGAGACCATAAAATAGAAAATACAGACTTTAAAAGTGCTCCCTGTAAAAAACTAAAGTCATTTAGGTACAGCTGAAATACTAAAAATAATAAAGTTATTATAAAAAGTGTTCCTTTCTTCATCTGTTGTCTTTGTTTTCATCATTTAGAGATTCAGCAGCATCTTTTTAAAAGTCATAGAATATTTATCTGACGGTTTTTAAAGTGTTCATTTTATCCATCACTGGTCTTAAATTTCACATAATTTGTGTCCTATTTATTTTTCATGATCTGTGTAATGTGAGCAATCATTTGCTGTGTTGCTGCATCCTGCCTGAAGGATTAGAGTGTTTTTATGCCGTGGAAACTGTGAGGCTCACAGTGGGAGGCACCAAACAGCCTGTGAAAGAAATGTGCCCATAAATCTGTCTTATTGTTGTTTGTTTTATCTAGCCCCTTTTCCTTCAGGAGCTTTTATATTTATTTACATTTTTGGGTATTTTCACAGCTGATAGTCCAGTACAGTTAGATCTGGGACCAAAATTGCAGCATTTGTTATATTTTCAGACGCTGTGGTTCTTTTTCTCCCAGACTGAGCCAAACCAGCCAAATCCTTTAAAAATATCTTCCCCTCCTCGCCTGTGGGGGCGCTGCATCAATAACCAATGAAAAAAACAACATGAAAACCTCTAAAGAAAACACTGATCGCAACTTCTTTCTTCACAAAAATGTAAACAAAAATAGAGTAGCGTTAAGATTTTAGCAGTTGTAGGATTTCTCTTTTGTCCACGAGTCATTTCTCATCATTAGCACGTTTTTTTTATTTTATTGTATTTACCCACAATGCACTGCGCTGTAGCCCACTTCCTGCTTTTGTAGCGATCCCCAGTTCACATATACATTCAAACCGAACCAGAGTTCACTTCAATCGAACCAAGACGAAGGCATTAAATGGACCGGATTCACTTTTTCTGGAGTTTGATTTTGCGTTCACACCAAACCAAACAAACCAGACTTCTAGACAAACAAACTGGAGTTTGATTAAAATGGACTAAACAGGGCTGGTGCGAATTAACTTTGCTTAAACCTGTTTCATGTAACAATTTGCTGAATATGAAACATGTTAAAATTTCACCTTTACAGTCCAAAAGCAAATGGGCACCAACTAAAATGCACCAAGAGAAAGAAATGTTTAGCCTAAGATAATAGCCTATTCTAAGATAATTTAATGAGTTCTTATAAGTCTGAGGTTTAAATACTAATGATTTTACAAACACGATTAATTTAACCAGGTGGAACTTGCAGAAACGTTGCTGCTTTTCTGCAGCTGGTTTCCGTTTTACTCCTTTATGTTTCGATGTTTTTATTTAACTCTGCAGATCCGCAGCCAACAGCTCGAAACACGGAGCCAACACAACGACGGCTGAGTGCGGTTTTCATTTCCAGAGCTCTTCTAATTACCTATCAATAGCTTTAAATGGAGTCTACACCACAGTTTAGTGTGTGGTTAATCAATAAAGCTTTAAATTTTTAAACTTGGCTCTCCTTGACATTCTGCTTTATAAGCTGGATTCACCGGAAGAAGGGTCATCGTCTGTCACCTCAGAGCCTCGGAGTCTCACTCACCTCCATCTTCACCTCCATCACCCAGTGGAGTCTCCTCTTCCCCCATTCCCTCCTCTTCCTCCTCTGTGGGTTTTTCTTCTGCAGCTGCCATTGAAGGAGTCCCACCAGTAAAGCTAGAGCTGGTCTTTGGGAGGATGGTGGGGATAAAAGGCACAAAGGTGTTTGTTTTTGGTCTGACAGTAGCTGAATCCCTCAGCTTGTTTTCCAAAACTCCCACAGTGGGGAATAAAGTTTGGGTGGGTGGGCTGGCATCTTCTGGTTCCTGTGTGGACGTGGAGTCCACAACCGGATAAACCATGGTCACTGCAAAATAACAACAACAGGTAGAAGCCACAATTCATGGTAAGACAAAACAAAAGCAATGTTTACGTTTATTTAGAGGAAAAAATGTTAATTAAATTAATTTCATTTCTAAGTTAAACATTAAACTGAAGTGATTCAGTTCTAATAACAGCAGATTTTATATAAAGGCCCTGAAAACGGAGCTTTTATTTTGATATTCCACTTCCGCTTATCAGCAAGCCAATTCCCATATAATCTATTTAGTTTGAAAATTAAATGTGAGGCTTGGAAAAATATTTAGTTGTGAAATAAAATGTTTTGAAAATTATTTATTTAGCAAGATAAATATTGAATTTGGAGCTAAATGACATTTTCCAACAAAATATGATGTTGAAGCATATTATGCCAACGATCTTTTAATAAGCAACATTTTTAGTTAGCAAAAACAAAATTTAGTTTGTACACCAAATATTTACTTTGAAAGCTAAATATTGAACTTACTCATACATTTAATTTGAACTAAATATTTAGTTTGTGAAATAAATGTTTAGTTTGAAAATCTGACATCTGTATGAATAACATGGTGAAAGTATGACTTTGAAACATGTTTTTCTCTCCGACAGACTAAATAAACCAAAACTATTTCTCTTAATGTTCTGCTGTGTATCTTTACAAACTCATCCCATAATAACCATCAGACTAAAAATGATTACCAGCCTGGAAGCTGAGCGTCTGTATGTCCAGCAGCAGCGTCGGCTCCTGCTTCAAGGCCGTAACGATGATGCGCTTCAGTTTCGGGGCCTTCGCGTCTTCGTTTGTCTCTTTTCCTTCTTCCATCTCCAGACTGTCACCGTTCAGCTCCGTTTCTCCGTTAAAGACAACAGCGTAGCGCACAGAGAGATCCTCTGAGCTGATCAACACAAATAAAATCCGGTAGGAAGACTCAGAACAGCCTGAATGTTCTGCAAAAATCAGGCCAACATTTTTAAATCTCTGTTGATGTTCGCATTGTGCTGCTATTATTTGGTCAATTTCATCTAATATTGTTTAACAAGCGCTCAGCATCATTTTGTTGGACCAGTAATCAATCATAAGTTAGACAAAGAGCAAACATGCTAGCGTTAGCCTAGCATTGAATCCTCTGTTGTTGCATGAAAATATCTTTATAAACAAAATGTTTTCCGCTGCTTATAAAGATATAATACCAGTACTAATGAACACCATATAACATGTTATTTATCGACTTCAAAATGTTTTAAGTTTCAAATAGGGACTTAAAGTTACAGTCAAAAATAAAAAACAATCATTTGGGTTATTTTTAGCCTTCCATGAGAAAAATAAATAGGTTTCAATTTTATTAATATTTTACCAGGTTATTCATGAGTTTATAAATAAAACAGTTGAAAAATGTTTTATCAAGCTAAATATTTGGTTCCAAATAAATATTACTTATTTAGTTTACAAAGCATATTTAGTTTAAACTAAATATTTAAATTGCTTAATAACCCAAATTATTGCTGTTAATTTCTGACTGTTTAGCTCTTTGTCAAATGCCCATTTTTGTATAATTCAAACTGGTATCAGGAAATTCAGATGGGGAAACCCTAAAATTCAATAAACTTGATCAAAGCAAAGTAATTCATCAATTAGGTCATTAATTTAGATTATGCAACATATTTAACCCTAAACTGTTGGAAAACCTGCATATTTCCCCAAACTAAGTCATATTTATAAAGGAAATGCAGTTGAGTTGACAGTTTGACCCACAAAACAGAAGAAGAAATAACTATAAACACATTTTCTTTATTTTAGTTGATTTGTTTCCAAGACATTTATTAAACTCACCGAAATCCAAGAACACGTATTTCTTTGAATCCTGGAACTTTTTCAAACACATGAACCATCTGCAAAGAAAAGAAAAAGTTCTGTCTGCATGTTCAGTTTTAATCATCTTACAAGCAAATTAGAATGAATGGAAATATAAATAAAAAGTTTATTTATTACCAATTCATTTAAAGAAAATGAATCTTATGTTATTATGTTTTCTTCTTGGCAGAGAGATATGTTTAAAGGATTTACACTGCAAAAACAAAAAGTTTACAGAGTATTTGTGTCTATTTCTACTTTTTGTGTCTATATTCAGGAATTATTTATTATTATTTTGCTGAAAAGTTTTACATTATTTTTGTCATAATTCAAGTGTACTAAAAACATTTGTAAAAACTAGACAAAAAATCTTGTTTTTGCAGTGAACAATCCTGATTTCTGTTCTGCTCTTAGTCACTCATCTGTTAGCACTCCTTAGTTTAGATGCTAAAGGTTGAATTAAAGCTGTTGAATCAATCGGGGAAAGGTTTCCTCCTAAGAGTACAATAAAATCTGGCATTTCCCTCCTGCGTTGTTATTCAACCCTCCCTGGGAGAGCCGGCGCTGCTGCTGGAGCGACCGCAGGCTGCCGCCGTTTGCATAAAGGTGAAGACAACAGCTGGGAGGAGGAGTGCTGACATTTGCTGCAGGCGGCTGATCTCACCTTGTCTCTGAGCTCTCTGGTGACGCCGTTGTAATGCGGCGCTGCGGGGTTGCTAAGCATTTCGCTGTATGTCGGGTCAGACACGGTGATGCTGAACTCAACAATGTATTCCTCGTAGTTCTCCTTAACCAGGTCTTTAGCCTGGGGAGCGAAAAGATGCAAACAGTTTAGGTATTTCTGGAAAACTGACGGTGAATTCTGATGGTGGATTTACCTCGTCAGTTTCTGCTGGAAGCAGAATGGGAGAAGGAGTCCAAGTGCCTGAAATTAAAGACGTTAACAGAAAATCTCCACAGATTTACAGAATATGGTTTAGTGAATGAAGGCAGGACTTACATTCACTGCTTGGCTCTTCTTTAGCTGCAACAAACCTGCAAGGAAACAGAACATCTCTTTTACTGTGACATTTTTATTTAGGTGTTTTCCTGAATATGTAACAATTTGTACAGTGTTGCACAGAGAGAAAATAAAATTACACATTTAACAGGGTTTTGTTTTGGATGTGAAGTTTGTTTATTCTTTTAATTTATTTCTTTTAGTCAAGAGGTTGCTTCTCCAGATATATTGTTGTATTTTAAGTTTTTTTACGCTGCTCTTGACAGTTGGTGGTTAATTGTAAGAAGATATTATTCAGATTATCATTATATGTTTTCATCTACGGTGGCCCGATTGCTCTGTCAGAAGTCTGTGAGGTGCAATAAATACAATTAATATGTAATTAATGTAGCTTTTTCTAAAACATTCTTTAACTTAACTTTATGTTGGTTCCCAATAAATCCAAATCATGTGTAATATACAAAAATCTCCTGCTACTTCATTTAATTTGTGGTAAAGATAAAGACTGATCCTTGATACTTTTGACATATAAGACAAATTTAGGTAAAAACATTGACATAATTCTACATATCTAATATAATATTCAGAGGATGATGCACCAACCCTTCACTTTCAGTCTCTTTTACTCTCTGAAATGAAAAGAAAAAGAAAGTGGAATCCATAAAAGTTTAATTTTACTGTTAAAGGTAAACAAGTTGTGATGAAATGTGAGTCTGCATTGCTCACTCTGGCCACCAGGTCCAGATGCTCCTGAGAGCTGCTGAAGTTCTGGGCCAGGTCATCCATGCACAGGTTCTGATGCTGGCAGGTGAACACCCAGGTCCGGTACTCCTCCGGGGCCGGGACTCGGTCCAAGAAGATCCGGAACGCTTCCCAGATCGCTTCCTGACAAACTGACGGCAAAATCCTTGGTGTAAAACAAAAAATCCTCAAAACGCACAACTAACCGAGGCTCAATCTGTTCACTGCAAAACAGAGTCCAACCCGGTTGTTTTGATTCTAGTTAGAATATTTTAGCAAACTTCAAATAAAACTAAGTTACCAGAAAATCAGTTTTGTTTTACCTCAAGTTTTCCAAGACATTTGCACTAGAACTTTACAAAAATACTTGGCAAGATTTAGTGTTTTTACAATCAGGAAACTAAAGAGTAACTACTGAAATTACTTCTCTAGAATAAATCAGAATATGACAGAAATAATTACTGCTGTTCACGAAAAGCAAGAATTCAGTTAATCTGAAAATGGTTAAATTATATAACTCTGCTTATTAAAACAATTTGAAAACTGATTTATTTTTAGTATACATTCTATGATCATTTTTCTTCACGTCTCCCAAAGGGTGAACTGTACATCTACGGCTTGTTGACGATGTTTGAGTGAATCTCTAGGTCTTTGGAGCAGAGGGCCAGTAAAGCAGCCGCATGTTTCAGCCTGTAATGAGCGCCACATTGTCCAACACCCGACGCCTGAGGGAAATGTTTCTGCCACAAACCCATTTGAAACGATGCCATTACCTCTAATAGAACAATTTAATCTGTCTCACATTGAAATGACACGCTGCAGCAGCTGCTGGGATGACTTTGATAACAAGCCATTTGCAACCGTCGCATCCCCGTTTAATTCCTCTAAAACACCCACAATGCATGTTGGAGGATGTTTGTGCGTTTCGTCAATAATTCAAGTGACTCTGTTGAATTTTATCAGCAGCATTTTTATTTTGAAAACCATCTGAGTTGACTGTGGCATCATAAAAATGCTTTATAATGAGTTTTTTGAGCAGCCGGGTCATGATTTTATATAAAATTCATTTTAACAGTCAAAGCGGATTGACCTCTGAGTTTGTAGTAGGCCCTGTGGCTGCCAATGACGGTTTTCATCGTCTCCTGGGGACACACTTTGACGCCTGTGGTGTGGACGGCGGACCTCTTCACCCGCTGTCCGTCCTGCTCGGATCGGACGTTGGTCGCATGCCTGATGGGTCGGGAAGCTTCCAGAAAATGCCGGTACTTCACGTCTCTGAGCCCAGAAAGGTTTATGTCATTCAGTTCTGCAGGAGGAGAGACAAAAGAGGAGGCAGGAATGTTTCAACAAAACACGGGATAATTACAGCAAACGTTGGTTATTCTGAACAGGCTGTCATGTTTATGTCAGTTATTTGAGGATAATTACAAAGTAAACACAAAGTGAAGTTTGGGCAACGTCTTTCTGGGAACATTTCTGCTACTATTTTATGTACTTGAATGGAGATTTCGTATTGTTGTTGGTTTATCTCATGAGCTCTTTGGACCTTAAACAATTAGCATTTTCACATAACAAATGCAGGTTTTTTGCATTGGATTTCCAAAGAATGACACAAAAAGTACCAGTAACTTGTTTTAAAACTTTGGAACCAAAGTGCTTTTCAAAAAAACAAAACCAATTATCTTTAAATCCTGAAAAGAGAAATAAAATGTTTCCACAGTTGTCTAAAAAGTTGTTTCAAAATGTTATGTGATATTTGCAACTCTGAGTCTTATTTGGTTCACTGCAAAAACACAAAATCTTACCAAGTATTTTTGGTTAGTTTCTGTTGCAAATAACTTTGTTCACTGAAAATAAGACAAAACTAACTTACAAGTAACTTCTCATTAATATACAAGTCAATAATTCCTTAATATTAATGAAAAGCTCTCGTAACAAAATAATCTGCCAGTGGAACTAGTACTTTTGTTTTATCAACCTGTCAGACTACAGGTCCACCAAAAAAATCGGCCCGATTTGTTTAATTTTGGGAGATCGGTGATTGGCCGATACTTACATGTGAAACTGATCTCATTTACCTCAGCAAAGGTCTGAAAATCAACCACTGCCTGCAGCCATCACCATCTTCAATGACTCTTTGAAGAATCTGAACTGATACAACATTTAGTTTCCCTTTGGGATAAATAAAGTACGTTTGAATTTTGATTTTTGCAGTGAGCGAGGTTTGACTAACAAACCGGACCATCAGGTAATCGACCTGAAAACTATTCTAAACTATTCCAGACATCTCAGGTCTTCTGGTTCTGGTTCTGGTTCTGGTTCTGGTCTGCATCACCAGAACCAAACATGGAGAAGCAGCATTCAGCTTCTATGCTCCTCTAATCTGGAACAAACTTCCAGAAAACAGCAAAAATGCTGGAACACTGAGTTCCTCTGGAGCTCCAGGCTGTTTTTCAGACGGACTTATCCCAATATCCCAAATCTTTTGGTAACACGTTGCCGAGTCGCACCATAATTAAACACAAACCTCCTGCATTGATTTCTTAAAGTAATTATATCCAAAAACGCACAAAACAGCAAAAGTGGCAAATGAAAAGGTTTGTGGGCTCTGGGTTTGTTTCTCTCATGCGAGCAGAGATAAATCTGACGTCATCATGGCAAACAGGATGTTGGTGAATCTGTCTCTACATCAGAACTGGGTTTTCAACATGTGGGAACATTCAGCCGCCATTTTCTTCTCAAAGCGTGAAACAGTAAAAATACAGACACAGGCTTTAAGTAAGAGACACCCTTTGTGGGAACTTTAACATCTCAAAGCTGCTTTTGTCTCTTCGTCTTTCCTTTAAGTTGAAATAAAAGTTTATCTACGACGGTGGACCAAATGAAGTTTAAGCTAAAAGTTTAAATTACAGGAGTGAGTATTAAGACATTAGCCTTTGTGTGACCAGGTCAGCCAAGGCTCACTATCTGTAAGGAGTATTTAATTTGCTCCGGAGTTAATCCAACAGTGACTTATGGCGTTTGCTGAGCAGTGTTACTCTCTGCTGCTTCCTTTGTGAATGTGTCTCAACAGCATTTTAACGTTTGCAGCGAAACATTTACTGGACTAAATGTGTGTTTGGTTTCAGGTGCAAAGTCATTTAAAAACTTTTAGGTATGGAAAGTTTGGAGCTGATGGTTTGTGGTTGGAAGAAGCTATGAAAAAGTGCAAAAAAATGAAAATGAAAAATGTAACACTTTGTCTTGGAGTGAAAGAACAGCTGCTACTTGACTCTTTTGGCATTTTTGACAAAATACAGCAACAAAAATGTTTTTAATGTTATTTTTCTCCGACATCATTTTTAGACAATTACATTTTGTGCCTTTCTGTGTTTTAAATACTTTTTTTTTTTGCTAATTGACTTTTGTTTTACATCCCTTAAAATGTGCTTGACATTTTTCTAATACATGTTACAACCAAAGTAATTCAAATAAACAAGGAAATCAACACAACTGACTGAAAGTATCGGAGACATGAATAAAAGGTGCAGAAACAACCCAAAAGTCAAAATAAACCAATTTTTGTTTATTTATGTTTATTTGATGGGAAAAATCTCCTAATAAGTGAAATAATCCCAGTGGAACAAGCACTTCTTCTCAGGATTAAATGATTTACCTAAAACTATCTCCGATATCTTTCTGAAAAGTTATTTGTAAATTAGTTTTGCCTTATTTCAAGTCGGAGATATTTGCACTAATAACTAGACTAAAATACTTGGTACGATTTTGTGAGTGAAGCAGACAAAGAAGTGGAAAATGGAAGCAGCATCTCAAATCGAGAGCTGATTGTCAGAGAGATGCTTCACATAATGCAGCCTGAATTACAGATTAAATTACCTAAAAATAAAAAGCTATTTTTTTACCTTCAGAAGCTCTGCCAGAGCTTCTGTTGTTCAGCAGAGTAATTTTGCAGCGTAACAAAAGCCAGCGTGACGATCCGAAACGTGTGGGCCGGCCGCCTTGTTGAATAATTTTGGCCTGATTGTGACGCCAGCTGGCAAATCTTCCAGGACTTCTTAAGACAATAAGCCAGGATTTATGAGCCCCAAAACGCAGACTGGAGGTCACTGCACCCAAATAACAAACTATCATCGCTCCTGGATTAGGAAACTGAGAGAAGGCTGAAGACAAACCACAGGAATAAGTGTAAATTACATAATTACAGCTCTGTCACAGTTTGTGGGCAGATTAAGATGCTGGATTTCAAAAGGAACGAAAAGAAAGTCAACTTTATTATTTTATCCAAAAAAACACATTTTTCTCTTTTAAGTGCAGTAAATAACTTATTACACTTAAAATAAGATAAAACTAACCTGTAACTGACTTTTCAGCAACATATAGGAGCTCGTTTAAGTCAATAATTCCTGAATATTGATGAAAACGTTGTGGTTCCATTAGCAGATTATTTTGAAAAGAATCTGACAATGGATTCAGTCATTTCTGCAATTTTAAGTTATTGACTTCAAACAAGCTCCACTATCTTGCCGGAAAGTTATTTGTAAGTTAGTTTTGTCTTATTTTAAATGTACTGAAACATTTGCACTAGAAACTACACCAAAAATCCTTGGTAAGATTTTGTGTTTTTGCAGTTTGTGATTGACAAAAAGACTGTAAACAAACAGAACAATGAATTTAAAACAATTCAATACATTTTATATTTAAACAAAAATAGGTTTGTGCATAAACATTTGTAACTTTTTATCAGTATTAGGTTGGCTTAGCTGCCTGGTTTTTACATAAATAGAAAAATATTAAAGAATTATTCAGACTGCAGACAGAGGCTGCGTGGCGGCGCAGAGAGACGCACTTTACCAACAAAGATGAACAATTTAAAGACATTTTAAAACTGATTTTGAATTGATTCAGAATCCCCAGCACCAGGAATTGTGATTTATTTTTTACTGCACCTTTATTTTCTGTCAAATGAAAAGCTGATAAGTGGCTCAATGCAATCCACTGTCGCCACATGCTTGCTCCAAAGGAGGGATTGCTGAAGGTCTGTGAATCGGCTTCCTCTGATGGAAAACATTTTATATCAGCCGTCATGAACTGAATTTAACTGCTTTAGGAGATACCAATAAAATGAGCCGAATTAAATTAGATTTAGACTGAAGGCAATCTCTGTCTCTTCAATTAACTTTTGCTCAGGCGGAGTATTTCTGGAGTTCATCATATCAGCCTATTCTCTAAGCTAATAAAAATAAATTGTTTTTGTGTGCATCATTGCTCAACCCTGAATCAGCTTTCACTTTTAACTTGTCAGTGCAGAAGAAAGATTTAAAACATCATTTTCTTTATCTTTTAGCAATTTTTCTGACTTTTTTAGTTTGTACATAATTCTAATGTTTTACATTCTGTAAAATCCTTGCTTCTATATTCTACATCTATATTTTATTTATGTTACACATTTATTTTTTTATTCTTCCTCTGTGTTTCTCCATGTCTGTAGGTGAAGAATGAATATTTTGATTCCTTGACTTTGACTTTACTGTTAAAGAAAACTTTTTAAACGAGGTGTCCTAATAAAATCCAAACACTAGACAGAACTTTAACATTCAGGTCAAATAAAAATATATATAATTTTATGTAGCTAATATAGTTTAATTGGCTGGGGTCTACTCTGTAGAGTTATAGAAAACTAATATTTATTGATTTGGTTTCAAGTCAGCTGCAGATGTATTATACAAAGTTTGCACGTCTTTTTTACTTCCCTTTGGTATCTCCTGCTGTTCTCAAAACAGCCCAAGTGCTAAAATAAAAAAATATCACCCAGTTATTTTTTGGTAATAAGTTAATGATGGTTTTTGGTATGTGGAAAATGAGTCATTTCAAAAACATCTGGTTTGTAACATGTCAAAGCAGCATGCACTGTCCCTCAACTAGCAACCCTAGGGAAGCCCAGGCCTGTTACCTAGCAACCCAAGTTGAGCTCCAGCTCATTTGTTCAGCTGGTTTTACAGTGTATGACCTGTACAATGGCTGCTGGAAAAGACAAAAGTTTATTTGTTGACTTACTATGCAGAAACCACTTGCTGCATTCTTGTTGGTTGTGCAGGAGGCTCTACTTCTGCTTTTCAAAGATGCATGGTTGTATAATTACATGAATTTAAAGTGACAGGAGGCCCTAAAACAAACTATTGTGAAAGGAGCTTGAAACAGGCAGAACTGAGAAAACTAAAGTCTCATTATCCAAGAATGATTTTGTGCAAAAAATGTAATGAACATGTTTTGTGTAGAGGTAACCTAACCTGTTCAAGGAAGCATAAAAGGTCACCTTTAAGACAATTTCCGCCTGCTTAGAGTCGGTCAGCTGAGTCCCTTCAACAAATCATTTGTTTAGCCCTATAAAGCACCAGGACTCCCTCTGGTCTCCCTAAGCTGGCGGCTGTCGCACACATGCAGGCGCAGCAGGAGGGACTGTTAGCGAGGGGACATCGCCTGAAAAAGGCCCCACTAGAGAATTACAAGCCAGAAAAGATTAGCGTCCTGCAACAGTGAGAACAAAATGGCTTTTGTTTGCTTTCGGATAATGAGCTCACCCCGGGGCACATCGCACCGAGCGAGGCAAACGGAAAACATTTTGCTCTGCTAAAACTCTCCATCCTGGTGAACAACTCTCATATGTCAGGCTGATTGACAGAAAATGTTCATGACCTTAAAAACTGATTGCGAGCAGTTTGACATTTGCTTGACATCCAAAAATCTAATATCTCCCTAAGATGGAGCTGACATTTTGGACTTGTGATGTTTACTTACTATTTTATTGACACAAACATGCCTGAGCTGGGCTGTCATTCAACAACATACGAAAAGCAGCACAAAAAGTATCCAACGCCACTGCAAAAACTCTAAATCTTACCAACTATTTCTGTCTAGTTTCTTGTTCAAATACTTTAGTTTTGACTGTTTAAGTGCAGCAACTTGAAAGTAACTTTTCAGCAAGATATAGAAATTTGTTTTCAGTTAATATTTATTTAGTTTTACTGTTTAAACTTAGAACATGGAGAAAATGTCTTGATAAAGTAAAAACTAAACTCATCAATATTAAGGATTTACTGACTTAACACAAGCAGAAAAGTTACTTGTCAGTTTTATCTTATTTGCAGTAGAAACAAAAAAAAGACATAGTAAGATTTTGTGTTTTGCAGTGTTGAAAACGTTTGTTAAATTTGACAATTCTGGATAATTAAGAGTCAAATGTGACTCAGTTAAGCAAATAAAGCATTAATAGTAAAATAAAATGATAAAAACACTGCAAAAAATGCCTTTCCAAAACAAGTAAAAAAAAAAGTAGAAAATAAGACATTTTTCCATGTTATAACTGAAATAATCTGCCAATTGAACAAGAAAATAAAGAAATTATTGACTTAAACTATTAACTTACAAGTAACTCTTTGCTGAAAAGTTACTTGTAAGTTAGTTTTGTCTTATTTTAAATATAATAAGATATTTTCAGTAGAAACTAGAGAAAAATACTTGGTAAGATTTTGTGTTTTTGCAGTGTCACAGTTTCTGTCTTTCTACTCACCTTTGATTCGACTAGCCTGAAGAGTAAACAGACACAAGGTGAGAAATACTCCTGACTTTAAAAGCATGATGGGCTGAATTATGTCTCTATCACTTCCAAAGAGCTCATGTGTGAAGAAAAGGTGCCAAACAGAAAAATCCAGAATCTCTTGATGCCAAGTCCATCAGGAGGCGGTGGCGTTTCCCATCAGGCAGACTGCTCTGCTCCTGCGTTTGTTCCCCAGAGCGGCTCCTGGTGCGGCTGCATGGACGGACGGAGCCTGAGGGAGTGAGGGAGGAGGAAGGGGAGAAGTTTGGGTCTGGGGTTTCCTTTGTGCTGCCAGGGTGCCAACAGTGAAGAGGTTAAAAAAGCAGGCTGTGTTTTCGTTCTAATCTCTTTACCTTCTTGTTGCCGCTCGTAATCCCTGCTGGGCCACGTGGTCGCTCGCTCACTCTCATCCTGTTAGTTACCGTCTGGACCCTCGTCTGTCTTTTCAACAAACTTGGTGTTTTCACACTGAATCAGAAGCTTAATTACAACTTCAGAGTCGTTTTTTAAATCCGTAAAGTTTTCTTCAGTTTATTTCGATAAAATGCTGCATGGTTTGTGTACAGTTGAGCAGGTAAGGCAAAAAAGGAATACTATGAAATATCATTTGTTTCTACCCTGCAAAAACAAAAAATTATATCAAGTTTCTTGTGCAAATACAAAAGCTTGTTTAAGTCAATAATCCCTTAATATTGACAAAAATGTACCAGTTCCACTGGCAGGTTATTTCAGTTATAACCTGGGAAAAATGTATTGCATAATTGAAAAAAATCTATCAATGAAACTAGTTATTTTTCAACAAAATAAAGGAATTATTGACTTAAAACGAGCTCCTATATCTTGCTGAAAATTTACCTATAAGCTGGCTTTGTTTTGTTCAGAGTTTACTAAGATATTTGCTTTAGAAACAAATCTGGTACGATTTTATGTTTTTGCAGTGCAGCTGAGCCGTAAAGTGCAAGGAGCTTTAAAACCCCTCAGTGTGTTTTACCATCAAGCCCAACTGTTCCAGTAAACCTGGCCAGTTTATGACCTCAATCCTTCAGGATTACAGTCGGAGTCACACATCAGGTCTCCGCTAAGCTTTAAGTCAGTAGTTTGAAGGTGAAGATCAGGAATAAATTTAACAAATCAGTTCAAGATTAGTTTTAAAGATTTGTGAAAATGAGACTTCATCTGTTTGTCTAGAAGGTAAAATTTTCTTTACAATGAACAAAATTGGCCTAGTTCAATCAAATTCAAATGCAGATGACAAAATCAGCTTCAGCCTTAAAGCTTTCCAGCATAATTAGCTCTTAATGTTACATTTTATGAGCTGCTGACTCTAATTACCTAACATTCACAGTTGAACTATAAATAAAATGCATTTTGCTACAACACTAGTTGCTACTCTGTTTACCGCTGGAGATTTTAAATAAAAAAACAAGAAATATAAACATCTTACTAAGAGATGTAAAAGTGTTATCTTTGCCACACTATTTTCTTCCAGGCTCTGGAAAGCAGAGGACATGCAGGCGTCAGGGTTAGCGATCTAAAATTTGAGTCACGTTAGCCGTCAAACACCACTTACACGTCTTTGGGAATATCCACTCAGGGCTGATTATCTCTGTGATCTAATAGACCTTGAGCAGCAGAAGTGTCACTGTCAGTGTGCTAAGTGCCTTTTGCTCACATCATCCTGGAACTTGGCACCAGCAGCAGAGGTTGCATAACCTATTATGCAGATCAGGGCTTGCACAAACAGGTTCAACACAGCCTGGATATCCTTTGGTCAGAGAGCATATTTAACCTCAACAACATGCTGAGCTGAGTCATGAAGCTGGGTTTTAACTCTACTAACAGAGGGTTTCTGAATCCTACGAGGGGTTTAAAGTGTGCCCTGTTTCCTAAAGATTACCAGCTGTAAAGTAAAGCAAACTATAAACTACTGGCTAAGTGGATCTGTGGAGCTTCTGCAATGGATCTTAATATTTTTTATATATAGATAGATAGACATTTACAAAATGCAGATTTTAGCTTTGTTTTTTGGGGGGTTGGGGGGTTTGCATGAAATAAATCTCATTTTGAATTTCCACAACAGAAGGATACAAGTATCACAAACAATGCAATCATCCCTAATCAAAACCATTTTCTACATATTGGAAATCCTGAAAGACAATGTCTGGCAATCATTTTAATCCTAAACTCAATCACAGCTGTGGAGCTGAACAATCTGCTTCTGAATGGTCCAGAAAAATAAATATGATATGCAGGTTTTTCAAAGTCAGGAACAAACCTGACTAAGAGGCTTCACATGTTAAAGTGATTTCAACAGGAAACCCTTCACTGTAGCTGAATTAAAACAATTTTACAAAGAAGAGTGAATGACAAATTATTCAGATAATCTAAGAAAATTAATACAAATACACAGAAAGCACAACACTAAGGAAATAAACATATGACACATTGCAATGATTAAACTAATGAGGATAGATAACAAAAAGAAAACCAAGACAACACTAGAAGAACATGACAAAATACACATAAATTGAGAAAAATAAAATCAATGTAGGCTTAAGAACAAGCTATAAAACTCGACATAAACCAGCAAAACTAAACCTAATGAGCAAGGAGTAAAAGAAATTCAACAAAATGTGAAAAGACATTAAAATAAAACAGAAAGAGAATAATCTAACACACAAACAGAAATAACCTAGATTAACTATTCAGGAAGTGGAACACCATAATAACCACCAGGAAGAAATAATATTGCAAATAACATAAATAACCTGTGACAAAAACCACAAACAGAAAAACCCAAATACCTGAGAAATCAAGATCATTTCCAGCTAAAACAAACTTCTGATGGCAGCTGATCTGAAACATTTCAGTACGACCACAAAGCAAAAACAGAAGAAATATGAATTTTTCATTCCCACCTTCTTTAACGAGAACAAACAAATATTCAAAATGTTCAGTTTTTGTATGTCTTCTAATTAAAAAAATATTTACTGTATTTATAGTTTTTTTGATGAAATTTGCATCTCATGGCCAGAAGAATCATAAATCAAACAAAAAACAAATTAACTAACAATTATTTATGAATTTATCCATTTGTGGTTTTAATTATATTTTACCTCCTGTTTTTGTTACTTATGTTACATCCTCAGGAATATCTGTGGTGTTTTTAATGGGATTTGCTCGTGTTGATCATTTGTCATCATGTTGACTCAGATTCTGAAAACACCAACAGAGGGCAGCATGGTCAACGTTCCTGGTAGAAGGTCAACCTGCAGATAGTTACTGTTAGAATTAAAACTTTAAGTTCTGCATGTTTACACAAGTAAACATTCAGAAATAAACATCTTATCTAGAACAAAATACACTGGAAGCAGGGAAAATAGAGATTTTCAGAAAAATATAGTGACTTTTTGATAACTAGAATTTGCAACAAGTCTGTGAGCACTGTAAAAATTTAGGGCTGCAACTAGCGATTATTTTAGTAATTGATTATTCTGATTAGACTAATCAGATAGAAGAAAAATTGCAACATTCTCCAGATTTTTCATTTAAGCATTTTTTTATACAAAATTAGAATTTCATTAAAAAAATGCAAACAAAAAAAATAATTAAATTTCTTTTTAAAATAAGAAAATGCACATGTTATTGCCTAAAATGCAACAACATAGCATTTCATTAGTGTATTTGAACCAGGTGAAGCTACACTGCAAAAACTGAAAATCTTACCAAGTATTCTTAGTCTAGTTTCCAGTGTAAATATCCTACAATTATTCCTTAACATTAATGAAAACTACTCGTTTCACTGGCAGATTATTTTATGGGAAAAATATCTAGTTATAAATTAAAAAACCTGCCAGTGGAACTAAAACTTTTCCATCAATATTAAGGAATTATTGACTAAAATAGCCCCATATAGTTGTTGAAAACTTGAGTTAGTGTTTGTCTTATTTTAAGTGTACTGAGATGTTTGCACTAGAAACTCAACCAAAAAGTCTTTGAAATATTTTGTGTTTCTGCAGTGAAAGTAGTGAGAATGATCCGTTCTGTCTTTGTTCTCCAGGCGAGGTGCCGGGTGGACACCCAGCGGCTGCCTCCAGCAGTCTGAGCTCAGGGGAAAATAAAAAGTCTGGAACAAGGAAAAAACAGCTGAAACTCCTGTTTCCGCTCAAAATGCAGCAGATTATCATGTTTTCTGCTGGCTTGTTTCATATCATCCCCTTGGAAAAGATGGGTGCTCAGGAAAGACAGCAGGGGAAGTACGGACATGGGAAAGGAAAGGAAGAAGAGCATTTCAGACAGACATGAAAGGAAGAAGTGGAGAAACAAACTTGGAAGAACGGTGCTGCATATGGCGGGGGAACAAACAGGAGAAGGAGGTCAGGTCAACCGACTGAACATCAGGGATGCTTTTCTGCCCCTGCTGCTAATCCTCACCTGTTTACAGCAGCATGGAGGCAGCATGAAAACCTCTGACACATTTAAACTGTGGCAACAGTGAAAAGAGGCATTCATGAGAACATGACTTAAATTTAGAAACTGACCTGCCAATCAAATTATCCAACACAGCAGCATAGATTGATCTAAAAATGGCATAAAATTGGCGATTTGTATTCCTGTTCCTGCTGATTTTGGGCTTCCTTTTACATGAAGTAGGTCAGATTTTAAAGGTGATCCACTTTGGTTCCTTGAATAGGTCAGAACATGGGTGAAACAAAACATGTTCATGCATTTTTTTGCACAAAATCATTCTTAAATAATACGATTTTCTGCTCAGTTCTATTTTCAGCTGTTTTAGAGCATCTTGCCACTTTAAATCCAAGTACGCTGCTGCTGGCCACGCCCCCCACTCAACATTTACACTTGCACCTGAAAATGGCTGCAAAAAGATGTGCAATTATATTACAGCACATCTCTGAAAAGCATTAGTGGAGCCTTCTGCACAACCAACAAGAATGCAGCAAGTGGTTTCTGGATAAAATGATTGGCAGCCATTTTCTTAAAAACCTGAGTTTTCTCTTACCAAAAAGGCCGATCGTCTTTTCATAACATAAAGAGCTACATTTTTCATAGTATGCTGCATTAAAGACTGACTGAAAAAACAGAAATGTGTGGTTTTCTAACATTAATAAACTTAGATACATCTACAAAATATAACAAAATAAGATCCTGTCAACAACAAAACACTTGTCTTTTCCAGTAGCCATTGTATAGCATATGTGCAATAAAAGCAATAAATCTACAATAAATCTTTGACGAATTTTAAATTAATATGAATTGCAATAATATTTTGTTTCAGTTTTTGCATCAAGTATTTTGGAACTGAATTTGAAAACCAGCTGACCAAACATCCTGGAGCTTCGTTTGGTTTGCTAGCTAACAGGCTGGGCTTTGCTGGGGTTACTAGGTGAAAGTCTGATTACAAAAGTTTTTGAA